TGTTTCTGACAAACTATACTTTTGACTTTTTCCGTAAAATCATGACAAACTTTTACTTATTCTTAAATTTGACCTCTTGCTGCTTGGTTGGAAATGATAGATGAAAAAGCTACAAAGCTTAAATAACTTTTTTTTAAAAACTCAATTCTACAGATTACATTACATTACATTGTATTTAGCTGACGCTTTTATCCAAAGCGACTTACAATAAGTGCGTTCAACCAACAAAGTACAACCTTGAAGAAAACAGAATCATATAAGTACATCAGGTTTCATAGATCCAAACATTTCACGTGCTACTCAACTGGCTTTAGATAATCCAGTCCTTTATTAGTATATAAGTGCTTTGTTAGTAATTCTATCTCTCGAAGTGGAGTCTAAAGAGATGAGTTTTCAGTCTGAAGAAGATGTGTAAGCTTTCTGCTGTCCTGATTTCAATGGGGAGCTCATTCCACCCTTTTGGAGCCAGGATAGCAAACCCACGTGTTTCTGCTGATGGGAATTTGGGTCCCCCTCGCAGTGCGGGTGCAGCGAGCTGTTTGGCTGATGCAGAGCGGAGTGCACNAGACAGTTTTTGACCGACAAACCCAGGTACTGTCTGGGCGTATGTGGGCATCCTAGCGCACTGTTTTTTGATACTTTTTGTTGATAACGTCGCAAGTTGATCTTTCAGTGTGAGGTGGGTACCATTAGTTCGCTGTTTCACGATTCTAAAACGATGGTTGGACTGGCAGCTTAGGATAAGTATTAAGGGGACAGCTAGGAGTGTTTTTCGGTGGGCAGTTTAACTAGGTTAGCATTTTTCGCTCGGGGGCTAATTTCAAGAGGCTCACTGTTAGGATTGTTTTTTTTTTAAAGAAAAAAGATCAGTTATTATTTTTCTCGGTTTTTGGATATAATTTCATTATTTATTAAATTTAATTAGGTTTTCCTTAAGAGTTTTTTCGCAATTGAGCATTTCGGGCCCGGGAAAACCGTGGTCGTGGGGCTTAGAGGGGAAATTGGGGAAACCTCGGGAGAGAAACAGAGGATCCCTTCCCCGGGACGGAACCAGATATGCTATAGGATGCGTGTGTAAATAATATGTGCCAGAATTAAAACAGGAGAATGGAACGTGTTTGGCAATTGGCCCCGGTTTGCAGGTTCTTTTCTTCAGGAGGGGAAGAACGGCTCCGAAGAAACCCCAAAGAGTGAAGTATGACACATTGAGGGAATGTAATGAGTTTCCCTTCCCTTGTGGCTTTGGGACTGCGGTGATCTTATGGATTGAAAAGCGCGATTTCACATGTGATCAAAAAACAACGGCGGATCCACTTGCTGGCTTACTGTACTTCTTAGATGTGCCCGGAAGGTCGGACGGCGGGAAATTAGCGCCGGGCTTACGATACACTAAAAACAACGGGCCGGAGACGCTTGCGGTTACTTGTACTCATGAGATGGGTGAACCCGGGTCGCGGCCGGATCAGTGCCGGGTTTTCGTGAAAACTACCAACTTACCAAAACGGCGGTCACTCGCCGCTTTACTGTTCATTCATGAGATTGCGAACCCAAAGGTCGACGGGCCGAAATTTACCGTGCCGGGTTACGTTTGAAACATTACCACTAAAACAATCACGACGCGGCCGATGGTCGATTGACCTGCGCTGCAGGTTAACATTTAACACACAGGATGAACACTACCACTAAAATCGCATAAATACCAAGTTGTAGGTTGAAGGGATCTTTGTGGGCCGGATTGTAGATGTGAACGGAGAGGAGGGACCAGTCCCCAAAGTTGTTGATCGGGGATAAGGATTAAATTTAACCTTGATTTGGGGGCGGGTTGGGCTGACCTATCCTGAACGGAAGCCTTGAATTGTTTGACACCCACCACCGGATTTTTTGAACTTTACCTGTGGTAAGCTGGAGGCTCTTTTGGATTTCCGGCACGAAGCCATGGTCCGGGCGAGTGAGTGTAGAAACAAGTATGTGAAGCTGTTTAAACTTGAGTACCCAAGTTGTGCATGATTCATACCTGGCTTAATTCGCAAAAGCATGTGGCATGAACAAACATTATAAATGAAGTGCCAATAGGCGCGGCATTGGAACCCGATTGATATTGTACTTAGTTATTTAGCAGTTTAATTCGCCACGGTGGGGGACATAGATTGCTGTTGCGTTGATTGGGTGATTAAGACTGTCTTCTATTTCATTCTTACGTGGGAAAACTTTCCCTCTTTTTCCCTGAAGAACCCCCAAAACCAGGATTGGGGGCAGCTCCGTGATGTTGAAATTCTTGAAACTGCGTTTACTTTAGGTTGTAAACGGGTAGGTTAGTTAACCCGAACTGCCATTAAAGTGATTGCGTTTCGTTTTATTCGTGAACGGGAAGTAGTACCGAACGCATTAAGTGATGCGTTACGTACTCGTACCAAAGTAATGTTACTGAAACCATAGGTAATCACTAACCTACAACTGCCTGGAACGTCACCTTAACTCCGTGAACTAAAGGCAGCGATCATATAACGAACATCTCGTGAATTTGGTTGCAAACGTTCCCTCTTGCCAGCGCTACCCTGACGCGCCTGTTTTTAGAGGTTGTGGCGCAGGGAAAAGGAGGCGAGAGCCCGGCTGTGCAATGAACCTGCTAGACGCCTATATGAGCGCACTTAGTGGTCCAGAGGAGAAGTAGCTTCCAATGTGGATGTACTCTAAGCCCTGCCCTGCCGGCTGCCAGAGGGGGGTTGTGGTTGAAGCCAATAAAGATGATGAAGCTCGCATGCGATGAGGGCCCGTTCCGCGTGAAGGCTGGAAGCGCCGCATTTCAGCGGCCCTAATGCCAGTGATGCCCTCTCCAGAGACTGAAGGCGTGCGTCAATTGTTTGCACGAAGTAGCTCATTTCCATTAGCCGGAGGAACTTCCGTGGAGCCCGATATCCTTGTCCTTTCCTCCCGCGTCCGGGTTTGAGGGGCGGCCGGCTGGAACCGCTAGCCAACTGGGGAACGCCGCCTGTAGCTTAATCCGCGAGACTGCGGAGCTGATGAATATATACCTGGAGCCGGGACGAAGCCCTGCTGCTGTTGCGTATTGTTGCCTGAAATGACAGCTGACGAGAGGGAGAGCAGATATAAAGGGATTAGCGGGTGCAACGATAGGCTTGTGAGAATGGAGAGAGGAGTGATTGGTTAGCTGGGGAGTGACGCCCCCGATCACCTAATGAGGGAGGAGAGAGCAATGAAGTGACATGTAATATGAATGAAGAGCTTGGTCTTCCTGTTTGAACTTGCGCTGAGCTTCATTTAGTTGTGTTGAGTTACTCAGGATCCAAACAGATTTGAGAGTAGAACATATTATGAAAAATATATTATTGATGAGGGGATTGAAGGATGTAGTTTTCCGATGTAGTCATAGTTTTTGACAGCTGCTGCTAGATGGTGATAAAGAGCAACATTTGACTAGTAGATACTAAGAAGTATTTCTAGTGCATTTCTGTCACCTCTACAACTGGGTTCATACAATCTTCAAACTACTTAGTAACTTAAGATTGTAATTACCTACGTGGCTCACGTTTTTGTGTCTAAGTTGAAGTTCAACTCCGTTACACACTTATGTGCGTGCCAGAGAGTGCCTCATAACACACAAGACCAGAGCATTTTTATGTTATCGTGACATTTTAGCAGCGGCACTCATACAATTAATTACAGGGGAAACACTAGACAGATATTAAAGCTCTGGGTACCGATAATTATCAACTTCTCTTACCATCGAGCAGTCTGATCTTTACTCACCTAACTATCAGTTAAGTATTTGTTAGATCAACCTTTCTTCTATCACATTTTGCTCATTTCAACTGTTTTTCCATCAATTTGAGAAGATTATTTAGATTTCAGAAAATAATATGAAATCGTTTTTTTTCTTTTCTAGACTTAATGTGATATGCTGTAAAAAAAAATCTAAGAATACATATACCCTTTGGTTTGTGTAACTTATTGTAGTTTAGGTCTATACAATGTCAGATAATTAATATTTTCCAAGGTGTCCAATGTGATGTCCATTCAAGGTCTTGTTTTGTTAATCCAAACCAAAAAGATTCAGTTTAATGTGAAAACGGAGACAAGGAGAAACAACCTTCATTCTCTACCAATAAAACAATACTTTTTATTTCACACTTGCAACATCTCTCTGCATCGTTTTACCTGAACATAGAAGGAGTGGGTATCATTGAAAAGTACAGCGAGTGCTGTTTCAACTAACAGGAGCTGTTTGTGGTTCTCCGGAAGAAAAGATAGTCACTTTTCGGTTAACATGCTCATTCTTTCTTGATAACATTACCACATCAACTTATTTCTCTGGGGACAAAATACATGTATATCTAGAAGCATACAATTTGAAAACAGTACTTATTTCCCTTTCTTTGTTCAAATTTCCCAAAAAATACATTGCCATACTTTATGTAATATTTTCGGGTTTTTTCTTTCCTGGCCCATGCTATTAAAAAAAGTTTATGAACAAAGAGACTTCCACATTCTCTTTGTAGCGAAAGATCAGTTGCTTAAAATAGAGGAACCTTCGTAATCTGAACAGCATAACAACATCTCTAACCTTTAAACACATGTATTCAGTTACATTTAAATAGGATTAGTTGCTATAACTTACTTCCTGCAAAGTTCCAAACCTCATGTTTCATTTGTGTTCTATAGCCTACTCAGCTTTATCCCTGCAAATCATCAAACACATTTGCACATCATTTCTACAATTTTTATTGACAATTGTTAAACTACGATATGTTTAACATACATACATTTTTTGCAAAAAAGTTAAGGCAAAACAATAGTTTGAGTGAATTGATTTAATATACTGGCTTTTCAAAACAAAATGTTTTTCAATACCAACTGTTTTTTCTGTAAGGTATCTAATTGGTGTATTTACTGACAAGAGGAAGTACAGTGGGCGGAAGATAGATATCATCTTCCTCTCATTTACATATGTGACTGGTTCTCTTGCTGTGCATTCACCTATTGATGGTCATAGAGATGAAAGGGACAGCTATGAGTTTAAGAGCAGCTGCCAGTGGATTTATTTTCTTCCTTCTCTCTGTGCCAGGTACTGTTGATCTAATGTTATATTGTTGGTAATTTAGCACAATATTAAGAGCATGTATTCAAGTTGGTTGTACCAGCGATTTGACCTATGAAATTATGTATAGCAATCAAAACCCTTTACCAAATCTTTCTGCTGTTTCTCTAAAACGATTCATCGTGATTGTTAAATAGCTCAAGTCCCTTAGTTTTTTACAAATACATATTTTGTATTTCTCGTCAACACTGCTAAACACATTAGTTATGAATATTTTCTTTACTAATATAAAATCTCTATAAAAATGAAATGTACGAGTTAAATACTGTTCTTCTGCTTTGCAAATGTTAACAAAAGTTCATGTCAAACATGAAACTCTGGACATTTTCGGCACATTTATCTTATTTTCTTGTCAAATGTTCCTATGCCGGAAATTGTATTAGCCTTCTGTTGAGAAATTACCTTCTAAAACAATCCAGTCCTCACGTTTTATACAGCAAAAAAAAGTATTTATGGAAAAAGGGTTTTGAAAAGCTCAAACAATAAATAATAATATTTATTTTAAAAGTTAATTTTTTTGTCCATTCCAAACTAGTTGAGTCTGTCAGTGTGTTATTGCCAGTGCTCAACAATTATTTGCATTTTTTATGACACTGCTATCCGGGCACTGTAAAAAGGCTGCACATTTTTCCTGAAACTAGGCAGTTAAATGCAAATATATGTCGTCACACTGTGTGCAGTGCTGTGTACATGAGCGAGAATAAAAAGCTGATTTGAATCTTTACTATGCATATTCTTTTTTTATTCTGAGGTTTCCATTTACTCTAATTTCCCAGCACAATAACAAACAATGAATTGCAATTAGTCTTTGATCTGTTCAGGAAGGTAAAGAAAGTTCAAATGTCCTTTTTAAGATTAGCTAACAAGCCATGTGTTCAATTTCCACAGTTTCTACTCATTGTTTTACTTGGCAAACACTTTTGCCCACTACAACATTTGCTCAATGCAAAGTAACAACAATGAAACTTTATTTTCAACCTAACCATTTTCAATGGGATTTGTTTGAGGAAGTAGGTAGCAAAAACATTTTTATTTCCAAAAGCATGCCAAACTTAACAAAAGCATTCTTAAAATGTCTCAAAAGTCCCTCTCTTACATCAGTAGACAAAATAATATATTCCTCTCAGACATCTTAACATCCAGAAAGGGTGCAAGCAAACAGATACTACGAACACACCATATATAAGTTGTTTTTAATTAATTGGAGTTATACATTACATTTTCATCTCTCCATTGATGCAATTTAATTGGAGCTTCTCTCTAAGCTGGTTTAGATATTAGTCAGCTGCAAATATGGTTTGACCCCTGGTTTCTCAATATATTATTGTAGTATCAGGTGTACTTAATAACATACTAAAAGTCTACCAACATCTGACCACTAGAAATTTGTAATCTTCAAGATGGCCTCCAAGATGGCTGAGAATTCCTTAAAATACCCTAACTCCTTCATAATTTATTCTACACAAATACATTTTTTGTCTAAACTTTTGGGGGCCTAGAAATCCATTGGACTTGTACAGATTGCAATAATATGATTACATCATTTTTTATCCAAAATGAGGGTCCGCAAGTTTCTTATAATGACATTACTCTCTTATTTCTCTTCCCAGTCAAGCAATTTTGGTAATTTTACTAATCCCGTGTTTTGGTGATCTAAGAAGCAAATTATAGTGATTACAAGTACAATTACATATTAAAGCAATGGGTTGTAAGCATATTGATGTTAAAAGTAATGGTAATTTAACAATACTATTGGATATTTCAGTTGTATTGGTCATAGCTGGTATGAATCTATACTACACAAAACTGTTAAGAAACCTGGGGTAATGTGTTTTTTCATTAAATGCAGCCGCCTATTTTTCTGAGAAACATTTTAAGTTATTTTGGAAAATTAAGATTTCTTCAACAGGTTTACATAATGATGCACTGCCATAACATATTCACTTTTGCCTTTCTGTATCTGATTGTGGTTTCTGACGTTCTCTTTGTGACAGTGGTACAGGGTGCAAATGAGTGGGCGGTGACTTGCACTTCTACTCAAATCTGTGCTGCAAAAGGATCCACAATGGAAATAAGCTGCACTTTCAAATACCCATCCATATATCTTAACGTAATTATCACAGTTCAGGAAACATTCTGGCTAATTAAGACAGGTACAAGCTATGAGAAGCTGACTACAGAGGTTGGAGGTCGTGTGCAGAATCTCTGTGCAAACAATACCTGCACTTTGAGAATATCAGACCTAAGAGAGAGCGACATAACAGGGTACCAGTTCAGGTTCAAAACAAACCATAGAAGTGGGAAGTGGTCAGGTCCCGAAGTCCCACTCACTCTCACAGGTAATTAAAATGATTATTCAATTTGTTGAATCTCTCTGTTCATGTGTGTGTGTGTGTGTGTGGGCGTCTTTGTATTAGCTAATGTTTAGGTTAATGGTTCAGCCTGTAGCAACTTTGCACAGCTTTATTATCAAAGGTACTGAAGAACATAATGACATTCACTCAACACAAAATACAGACACACCAGCAGCTTTAGGAGGCTTTACATAGGTATGTTGTTCCCTCAGTCTATAGTTATAATGACAGTTTTGTTGACATTAGCAGGCATGGGCCGCCGGATAGCTCAATGATCAGAAATGTATGCGGTGACAGATGCCTATTATAATGGTTTGAATCCAGAGCCGGTCGAACAATTTAGGCAATATCCTACCCTCTGTCTCCCCCTTTTAACTCTGAAAATCTCCAATAAAGGTACTCTGGCAAAAAAAAGATAGATACTTATTGAGCATAATATTAACCATTATCTACATGTTATCTTTGTTATCCATACCCAAAGGTGACTAAACGTTCGCAAAAGGAATTACCGTTATCCTCAGGGTTTTCAATGTTTGTGTTTCATGGAAGTCTTTTTAAAGTAAAACATTTGTCTTAAAACCATGTTCAAACCATATCAGTCCAAACATTTCATTGCAACCCTTCTAGCTGTTTTGAAGACATTTCACACAAAGTGGTGGACCAACCAACGAGCCATCCCAAGAGCCACGTTGCTAGCATGGCTTGACACTTATTAAATGGTGCATTATTGCATTTTATGTAGAATACGTTTTATATACAATTACTAAAGTATTTTGATAATGCAATCAAAAGTTTAGGTAAATCATATTTTAGTGAATTGACTCCCAATATATTTATTCTCACAAATATATGTATGTGTTTCTAATAACCTATGATTCTGTGTTCTTCCTCTAATATGCAGCTGTTCAGATGAACGTGGTTCGCGTCAATCTTTCTTCTAATGAGGCAGAGCTAAATTGTCATAGCACCTGCAGTAATTATGTCTGGTTTAAGAGTGGACAGAAAGTTCCTGGAGAAGCTCCTTCATATACAGGCCATTTTAATCCCGGGGAGAACATATCCTGTGCTTTGAAAGGACATGAGGATTACGGCTCTCCTTCACTGTGTGAGTTCAGTTGACTGCCATAAACAAAAATGTTAAACTTTTAACCAAATTATTCATTTAATAATTCAAGCTTCACAAAATGTATTGATCATTTAATTCTGAACCCCCACTTTAACAACCTGTTCTAATCTTTCAAACCTTTTGTTTCCCTCTCCAGATGCTCCCAAGGTTCCCTCTGTGTCTGTGCGTCCCTCTGGTGAAATACTGGAGGGCAGTTCAGTCAATTTGACCTGTACACATGATGCATATATAAAAGTGAACTATACCTGGTACAAGGAGAGTCAAGCCATGCCCAGTAAAGAACCACAGCTTGTCTTCAGCTCCATCCAGACCTCTGACTCTGCTGAGTATTACTGTACAGCTGAGACAGAGCTGGGGAGGAGGACATCTAAATATATCTCTATCAATGTGAAATGTGAGTTGATATTAATTGTTGAAAAAAAAAACAAAGCTTCATCTTGTAAATGTTTCAAGCAGTACCGTACATAATTTAAAGGCAGTTTTACTAAGTCATGGCCTCACTGCTGCCACACCACTTGTGATATAATTATAAAAAAAGAAAACAGCATTAATGCAATACATCCTCCTATTTTTAATCAAACCCACAGATCCTCCAAAGCTTCCCTCTGTCTCAGTGAGTCCCTCTGATAAGATAGAAGAGGGCAGTTCAGTGAATCTGACCTGTAGCAGTGATGCTAACCCAGCAGCTAACTACAGCTGGTACAAGGGGAACCAAACACTGTTTCAGGGAACAGAAGGAATATATAATTTCACCTCCATCAGCTCAGAAGACAGAGGGATCTACTACTGCAAGTCCGAGAATCAATATGGAGTGAACACGTCTTCAAACATATTTCTAGATGTCCAGTGTGAGTATAACACATCGATTAGCAAGGAAGCCACACTTCATTATTATAACATATTTATTTCCAGGTGAAAGCACAATGTGCAGCACACTTGAGCAACCACTTCTTCATATATTGTAAAGATAAAACACCTGACATAAATTGGTACTATAACAAAGTAATAACACATACATGTAAATTAAAACCATTGAGATTAATGAATACAAAGACATATTAAGATATGCACTTAACCGCTTAGAATAAATAACATTGGAATTTAACCAATAAGAATAACATTTAATATTAAAACACTTATCTTGTTAGACAATGTATGCTAAGTAAACTCGTTTTAACCAATGAAAAAAGGAAAAGAAAATAGTATGAAAAATATACCACTGAAAGATACAGCCAACAATAGTTTTCTCTGAACTCAAGTCAATATTAAGGCTTATGTTAAAACCGATAAATTGTTATTGCCATAATATGGAAGTTCTCCATATGTTTGAAGATATGCATTACATTTCTTTTTTACACATTCTCCTCAAGATGGTCCAAAGCTCCCCTCTGTGTCAGTGAGTCCCTCTGAGATAGAGGAGGGCAGTTCAGTGACTCTGACCTGTAGCAGTGATGCTAACCCAGCAGCTAACTACACCTGGTACAAGGAGGATGAAGACTCTCCAAAAGCTTCAGGACAGATCTTCACCATCACTGACTTCAGAGCTGAACACAGTGGGAGTTTCTTTGGAAGTTTGTCCTTGTCCGATGTGAGGGTCCAAGGACAGAGGGAATCGTATTCATATTCTGTACAAACGGTAAAGTCCACTGAGACAAATGTCAAATGTGTGATATATAAATAAACATTGATTGATTAATTGTCAATTAACATATCTGGGTCCTGTTGAAGTACATTTGGAAAGACAACTAAATTCTTAACTTTTGTTGCAACTGTGTCCAACTGCAACTGTGACAAATTCATTCTGGATTTTGACTTATTTGAGGTGAGTGTGAATGGTATTTTCATTTCAAAAATGATTCACACTCACCTCAGGTCTCTTTTGAATCAGACTTTCAAAAAAAAGAAAATACACACAAAGAATTTGGAAAAGTTTATGTAGATAAAGACATATAGCCAATATTGTTTGACTGTCCGAAAACACAATGTATTGAATTGTAAGATCCTTTTCAAATTAAATTCATAAAGGTTTTAATAACTGTCAGTGATTATTTCTTATCATCGCTACCTAGGAGCATGGAAATCAAGAGCTGTTGGAATCACCACTGCTGTTGTCCTGGCAGTCATCCTCCACTCTATCTTTGTATCCTTTAGGCAAGCAGTCCAATTTCATTAAGGTAATGTTTAGTGAAAGCACTAAAAACGGTATGCTGGATGTTTTGATAATATTGGGCAATCAAATATATACATTTGGAAAATATTGTAAAGTTATCTCATATCTCAATCTCTTCCTCTTCTTCAAACTCACTGTCAGACTGAATTTTCTGAAAAAAATCCCTACTCTAGTCCCTTCTCTAGTCCCTACTCAAGTGCCGTTGGAGGTTCCGCTGGGGGTCCTGCCAGCTCTGTGTCCTGTCCTGTTTGGGGTCCCATCGACACCAGCCCTTGCTCCGTCGTGGGTCCCACTGACACCAGCCCATGTTCCGTCCAGGTGTCGATGGGACCCCAAACAGGACAGGACACAGAGCTGGCAGGACCCCNGTCTATTACAAAACCTTTGAGGGAATCGCATCAATTAAAATAAATGCATGGCAAGTATGATCAAATTAACATAATGTCAAGATATAGCCAATAGACAATCAACATGCTTGAATATAAAGGAAGAAGAACAATAAACAGATGAACATTTAGGTTTTATGTGTAAATTGTGAACAAACATCTTAATACATCTAGCAGTCTAAGACAGCAAACTAAGCTTATTTAAATGCTGCTAGAACACAGTTTTACCATGGGGTATTTCTAACAAGACCAAAAAGATATACAAGGCTTCCAAAACAGAAGAAACCAAATCAATACAGTATTTTAATTTCCTTCAAAACGACAAAAGCACTAATAAAAAGCCAAATAACAATAACATAAAGGAAAAGTACTTGAAGTGGTTGGCTTGATGATTGTCTCTCTTTTAAACCTCAGGTCAATAATCTGCTTAGAAAGCTGAGGGTTAGGCTAGGTTTCTTCTTCAGAAACAAGTCCTGTTTCTCGCTTGAGGCCAGGAAAAGGCTAGTCACTGTGACCTTTTGACCTGTGCTGGACTATGGTGATCTGATCTATATGAATTCACCTGCACATTACGTATTTTACGTACTTTCGTCACAGTACTCGCCTTCTTCGCTGCTTTTAGTGTATTTTGTGGCGGAAGTACAGCGCCACTTACAGGCCGGGCATATGTACTACTACAGCGTCTCCAGCGGGTCGAGCAGTCTCGTGTGAAGGGACACGTTTATTGAGCCGTATCTGTGTGAACGGAACACTTTTTTGATATCGAATTTGGTTCGTTTCATTTGCGTTCCCGTGTAAATGGGCCATTGATGTTTCCGAGTAAGCTCCTCACACCACTGAATTAACAAGCAATTATTCCAAGCAATCAATTTGCTCGATGAACGGTGTCGAGTGTGTCCCTTAAGTCCCTTGCTCTGACTGCCAAGCCTTTTATGGTCGTCCGGTGAAACAAGTAGGCAGAACATAAACAAAAACTTACCATAATCCCCTGAGATGCTCTCATACAGTAGCCTACCTTCCTTTCAGCTTTGGAAAGGGACTGGTTAACATACATGTTTGTCCCTAACTCTTTACATTATTTAATGTCCCAAATGTCCTGAATTAAGTCTCTCAGTTACCAGAATCAGCACTCTCAATACTTTTTGCTAACTCCTATTCAGAAGTGATGTGGTCTGTTTATTTTTGTACAGTACTTCCTCTCTGATCTGCTACTAATCCAACAGAGGAAGAGATTTAAGATGTCACTTTGACAGAAACCTGGAATGCAAACTTTATTCAGTCAGTTTTTCATGTCTTCTTGTTTCCCTCTCTTGACATGCTAGGCTTGCTACACACACTGACTCACATTGGCTCAGGACTCAACTGGACTCACTGTGCAGCTCCTTCAGCGACAGGCTGCTGCACCAACGCTGTCTCACGGAGAGATACCGCAGCTTCCTGCAGCGGTCAGACTTTACAACCAGCACAGTCCCTAGTAGACCCCCCAATCAACTATGTGCAATATGTGCTATATGTGCAATATATATATATGCCGTTAATAACTGTGTAATTTATACCTGGCTGCTAAATCATTAGAACAGTTACAAGGTGTGTTTTTTGCATTTTGTAAATTGTGTAACTTGCTGCTGTTAAATACAATCAAACTATGTGCAATATGTGCAATATATACATTATATACATATGCCATTAATAACCGTGTAATATATACCTGGCTGCTAAATCCTAAGAACTGTTACAGGATTTGTATTTTGAAAAGTATTTTTTTTATTATATCATAACTTAGTACTTTTTTTTAACTATATGTAACATTAAGCTGTCTGTGGCTCTTTCCTGCTGTAACGATGCAAGTGTCCCCTCTGTGGGATTAATAAAGGTATTCTGATTCTGTAGTCTGTTTTTGCATGTACAAGAGAGGGTGCAATTTCTAGTAAAATACTTAAGTTTAAGAAATAATATTTACAAAGACAGAGTAGGAGAGAAGATCTTTCCTTGCTGATTATATTAGTGGTATTGACAAGTTATGGAAATATTGGTAACATTCTGAACATTTTTTAAAAATATTTAATTGATCTTTATTTTTCAGGAGTTATTTTACACCTAATTCTATGTATTCAATGTATATAATGTACTGTATTATTTCCGTTTTATGTTTTTTTTCTAATATACCAAGATTTAATAAATCAACAGTATGAATATACAAGTTTGGTTAGGGGATATACCGTTGGATGTTTCATGAAATGTGTTTTTAATTTACTTTAGATTTATTAAAAGGGAAAATTTTTGTGTATGTTCAAATGAGAAATATAACCAGTATTCACTTATTTCGTATGAATGTACAATCCTATTTTCTAATAAAAACGATGCCTGTTGGCCCTTATTTGGAGGAAATCATTCATTCAAAATGTTAAGATACTAAGATTGCTAAAAACACAAGTGTATTATTATTTAAGTCATAAATAATTCATTGTGCTCCAGGTCACCATTTGAGAGGTTTTTATTTCTTCTTCTCAGTGCAAAAGGGAATGCTTTACAAATTCTGATAATAAAAAAAAGAATGCAACAAATGAATAATTATTCAATTGTACTGCATCATGGGTGACAAGATTAAACTAATTCATTCTTTATGGTGGGATGTGACTCAGTGGCACAAAATCATCATGTATTGAGGGGGGGTTTTAGTAACTTCTCGTTGTGATCTATAAGAAAAAAAAAAAAGATTAATGGGTTAGTAACAAGTGAGATTATAGGGAGTAGATATTTAGAAGCAAATGAGAAACAACAGAATGAATTATGCCCCAAGTCTGAAAAATTCAATAACGATGTTTCCTAGCAAAGAAAAGGCAATATGCGATATCATGTGGATCTCCCAGGAGAAATGATACAGGAGTCTACATTATTACATGTGCTATCTGGAGTAGAATAAGAATAGGGTGATGAACTGCCAAGCATAATTAATTCAACTGAGAGGGTATATGACTTGTTTTGCAAGCATAAACCAATATATGAGTGAATCTTTTTAAGAAAACCTACATAAACAACTTCAAAGTTAATTAAATCTCCCCTCTTTTGTAGACAAAAAATACTCTTTGCTATAATCACTAAAGTACATCTTGCAGAGAAATGTTCTCATATTCAAATGTGTCACAAAACACATTAAAACATTTTCTTCAAACTATTTGGCCATCATGACTTTAACCAGTTTTGTTTTTGAGACAAGACTTGGGCAATGGCATAGTAATCATAAAATGCCCTCTGAGGTGTAACCCAAAAAATCTCTAAACTGAGAAATGCATGTGTGATATAAATATTCACCTTCTGAGAGGCAGATGCACGTCTGTTTCAACCAATGAAGTTCATTACGACCAGATGAAGGACGGTCTGAGCGAACAGGAAGTCGGCAAAGGCTCTCTCCGGAGAGATGGACAGGAAGTCTGCTTTATTCTGTGGGTTGATCTGGATACGAAGACATACTGAGAAAAAAGAAAAAAAGACACGCAGAATTTAGTATTATGGCACTTTAGACTCATAAACACTTATTGCACTAAGACTATTTTTATAAATGTTCAAACATAACACGAATATCACTTTTTAAACTTGTAGTGACGTCAGCACTAAGATAGACATACTTAGGTTTTTTTAAATGAAAATAAAATAAAATGCAGTCAATAAATCTCAGGCTAGTTAAATAATCAATTACAATAAATGTATCATGGACACATGCTAAACATTCTCTTGTATACGCTTGTCCAATATGAGAATTGGACAGGATGAATTTATCCCTGTCCAAACCTTGAGAAGATTCACCTCTTAGTGTTTAACTCAACAAAACTTTGAGAAAATTCCATCAAACTAAAGACTTCGCCTTTTTCAGTTGTTTTTGTGTGTTTTCCTGGTATTCAATCGGAAAAGGTTTAATAGTTTCTAAACCCCTCTCTTTTATTTATTACATTTGTCATGTCTCTCTTTTCTGGATTTAAAACGAGACCTAAAGCAATTTCCTGTATTTCTCCAAGGACAAGGTATTCCAGCTTATAGATAGTATGTGTCGAGGGACAGTATGATTAGAACAAGAATGATCCTAAAACTCCTCTACTATAAACAGGATGTATTACATTTACATTATCTGCTGTGTATTCTACAAATGTCTTGTGCAAATAATTTGTTCACTTGTTCATAAGTCAATACAAATATTCTTAATAAAACATCAGTGTAACATAGTATATTTCATAAAAGCACCAAAAAAAACGTCCATCAAACTCAATATGATAACTTAACCTACATCAATGTATGGTTTTATTGCAGTAAGGTGATCAAACTACATGTGTTTAAGCTGTCACAAAATAATGTACAATGCTTATTTGATAAAGTTGGTTTACATGTTCATACTGAGAGTGCGTTTATTTGTTTAATTCTTATATAACTGCAGCTCAAATCATGGGATGTTAGCATGGTTAGCTTAAGTTGACACACACGTTCACTTATTGACCGGAAGTCAGTGACTGACTGAAACCCCTCGAAATGGATGCATAATAAGAATCACTGCCAGCACATTACAACATTTGCAGAATAAGTATTTACCTCCGAGAATGAAAGCGCCAACGCAGGAGATGAAGCCCGACAGAAAGCTGTTGAAGGGGAAGGTTCCGACGAGCAGACAGTAGAGGAACTGCAGAGCTCCTGTCAACAAGATGTACAGCAAATATGAATCCACCACCTTCAGCTTGTTGGGCGTCGTGGTGGTGTACTCCTCTAGAAACCGTGAAACCACCGAAAGGACTGAGTTCGACATGATTTTTCCGTCTAATGTGAACAAATGGGGTCAATAAACGAGTTTTGCACCGGTCCCCTTTCTCAGTCGAATGAGTGACGTGTCCTCGTAAACCGGAAGCAGACTTGGTGTTACACATATTATATTCCGTGTAGGTCGAAGAGAAGAGCAAAGGAGCTCTGTTATTGTAGAAGGGACCATTGGCTCCTCCCACCGTGCTACAGAGAGCTGTGAAAAAAGGAAAGATGGTCACTCAGACAGTATTTCGATATACGGTTTTGTCAACTGCATTATCGATTACCAAGGTTTTTCCCGGGACCCAAAAGCCTGGTGTAACTAATTTCTCAACCACATAGCCACACCGTAAATCATACGAAGCATATTAAGTCTTTCAAGTTTGAATTTCACAAAATATAGTTCATCTTCACAAACACATACGAAGATGTTGTGTATAGACATACTCCCCGTTCGTTTGACTGTTGCTAGCTTATAAACACTAAAGCTCTCCCGTTGTCAAATTCGCGAGGTAGGAATATATAACTTCATGTTGACTATGAACGCCCCGTTAGACTTTGTATTATGAAAGATGAATGACGAGTGATGCTTTTTGTGAAATTGACGCATCCTCATAATAGACCATCTGTGTTCATGGTCAGCTGATTTAAAGAACGGAGTTACAAAACATTAAAAACTAGCATACAGGGGCTAGGTACAGAGCAGCGTGTTATTTCATTTCCTTGAATGTAGTCACCGGAATATGACATTCAATGGACCCTGCTACTACCACATCTCCGATGCAAAGCGATTGTGAAACAGAGTAAGTCATTCAAATACATAAACAGACGGAGATTACCAATGCCTTCTCCAGCACACTGCTACTCTGATTACATCATGGTTCAACTTGAAAAAAAAACTATAGTTTATTATGTAACTTTTCACATTTAGTCAAACATTAAGATCTGTGTTACAATACCATAGTGCTGTTTTATTACACCAATATCAAATAGGTAATACACTACATTTCTTTATGCTTGTTTTGGTCAGTTATTATATTATATCCATGTGACATTGCACTTACATAATTGTATAGAGAGGTTGTCACTTAACTATAGTATACTAATAAAACACAACTGCATCAGTTGGCTTTATATGACAGAAATAAGGGGAAACAATTAGTAAATTAAATGCAAATAGATTAATTGCTCACTTTAACCTGTATTGCAGGGATATGAGGGTTATTATTGAACCAGAGGAGTTGCTACTGATACAATGGGATTACTTTACTGTGACACTCCTGTCAAACAGGTCTTTGTAAGTTGTATTCACTGGAGAGAAGAGCAGCTGTGAGTGACCCTCCACGGTGAGTCAATTGTCAGGATGACTTAGCAATTTTGTATTGCATGTTGATTGCAAAACAGGTGTAAGCCCTGATGGTGTACCTGGTCTCTAATGCTGGAGGTTGAAATGTGAAAATGCCTTTTTCTATCTCCATCAATAGTCGGTCGGGGAAAACCAACCTGGGCTAAATTTACACAACTTTCACATTTCGTTCCTGAAAATAAAAAGCTTGTCAATAACCTATTTTGTATGTGTTGCCTAGTGTTTGCATGGAACAGTAAACTGCCTGGAATTTAATTGATAATTACTCTTAAACCGTTTGCCTTACTAAAGACATTTTTGACATTTTAATTGTGTTTTCCATGTTGTGCTGTGTTGATGCCTATGGCATACATTTGTACAAGAAAATACAGACATGAGGACACAAAGCCATAACACCTTTTTTTTAAAACAACAACAGCGTCATTATGTACAAAAAAATAGCAATTGAACGTTTACAATTCTGAATTAAAAACATGTGGTGGTTAATTGCAGTGTTTGGAAGGAACATATTGTGTCATCCAACATAACATGACACTCGGCGGGGAAAATTTAGAATAATTTGGTGGAAACATTTTCATGTGGTTTTTATTAAACATAGGCAGTCAATACAAAAAATAAGGCTCAAGGTTTAGGAAGTCAGTGGTAATCATGATTCATATTTCCTATCACCCCTTTGCTGTGGGTGTTGGCATTGATTATGATTGACAGAATGATGGCTGTGAAGTCTGACACTCCCCGGCCTGTTTGCTCAATGCAAACAAAGATAACACGTGTTGAATAATTCCTGTCCTATCTACCATCTCTTCATTCTTTGTCTTCTGCTTCCCTCTCGTTAGGCCAAGTTCAGTCTGGAGCTGGTGGCCTTCCTGGCGTCCAACATCCATGTCCCTTCTAAAGACTGCAGAGTCAAAGATTCTTGCATGTAAGTGTGTTTTGACATACACGGCAGATTGTTGATTTATAGCTTGATGTCATTTATTGATCTCAAATAGAGTGGTGCAGGAATGAGTCCTAAAACCCAGAATTGACTTAGCATTTTACCACTTCTTGTTCCCTCTTCTCGAAGTAAAAACATGTATTGAACGTGTTTGTGGTTACATGCTTGAAATAAGATCTGTGGTTACAAGCTTACATTTTTTTTCTACCACATAAAATATGTCGGTAAATAACCAACTCGTGAATGTCTAATGCTTCTATGGGTCAAAAAAGCGGTTAAAAGTTACTAAATAAGACTACGATAAGTTATTGCGGCAAGTATTAGCTGCATTTAGCTTAGCGGTGGTGACGTGAAGTCATATGACCTTGATGTAATTTATTTTAAAGTCTAACAAAAGCTTTTTAATTGTGACAATTGCAGTTTGCTTCAAAAATAATAAAGTGTAGGTAATATGAGGAGATTATCCTTCTGAACAAACGTGCAAGTATAGTAAATGTACAGTATGGTTGCGACAGGGCTTATGATATACAATATACCGAAATCGAATGGAAAAATCCCATTGTCTTTTTGTCCGAGGAGCCTTTTCTATTCTTACTTCCTGGATGGCCTTCAAAGAAACGTAATTTCTGCACTCTATATGTAGCTAATCACTATGTGTGGTCACAACAGGTATCCAGAATGACGTATGGTCTCGGTTTGTGACCCTGCCAAACCGCGATCGAATATGGACTCTGTCCCTCACCAACAAGGGGGTGCGCAAAACTGCAGAACAGGGTACCGTCCTACTTTTTGTTTATCACAAGACAACAGCTGTAATAATGCATCATAAGACCGTCGACTAACTCCTTTCTGTCTTTTTCCTCTAGCCCCGAAGACTCCCCTGGTGATGGTCCACGGGTTCGGTGGAGGGGTCGGCCTTTGGATCCGGAACATTGACGCTCTGAGTCGATCGCGGCCTGTTTACGCCTTTGACCTCCTGGGCTTCGGCCGGAGCTCCAGGCCTTCCTTCCCCTCGGATGCTACCCAGGCAGAGAAGCAGTTTGTGGACTCTATTGAGCAGTGGAGAGAGTATTTAGGCCTGGAGAACATGATCCTGCTGGGACACAGTCTAGGGGGGTACCTGGCTACCTCCTATGCCATCCAGTACCCTACTAGGTAATATTAAGATGATGAGGGGAACAGAATAGTTGTAGCTGGTAGTGGTTTACTAAGTACTGAACATTGAATAAGTAATGTTACATATTAACCAGCCTCATCTAATATTAAAGGTCACCTATTATAAAAAAATCCACTTTTTCATGTCTGTTATACATAAACATGTGTCCCCTCTGTGTAAAGAGATTCTGAAAGTTTCAGGAACAAAGATTCTCTAACTTTTTGTCCTTTTATATAGAAACCTGTCTGAAAATGAGCTGATCAGATTTTGGCCACTGTATGATGTCATAACGATGTTTTGGCTTGTGTAACCATTAGCCAATCACCAACCAAGGTAACACCCCCCCCTTACCACCTGAATCTCCTCCTAGAGCACCATAGTGTTCTTTTTAACCAAATGTCTCTCAGAGGGGGCGTGGGGAGGGGCTCCTTATTTTCAACTAAAGTAACAGAAAGAGAATCCGCACTTTTGAAACGGGGCTGAAACAGAGGGGATTATGGGATGCTGCAATGATCTGTTTGGTATTTCAGCCAAACACTTCAGAGACATGTTTTGTATATATCTGAGACCTATAATATATTGATGAAAAACAGTATAAAAGGGGACCTTTAAGGGACCTATATTACGTTTATTTGTTCCTGTGCTTTACAGTATTGTTTTTAATGCAACATTATCTTTAAGTAACAATAATTTTTAATAGATTTATTTTAACCCTTAATCAATTTTATTATGATTTTACTGTTTTAAATATATATTTCTAATTAAAATGTGACATCATTTAATTGTAAAATGTTATGATTTAGGTTTCATTGGTGTAGGTTACTTCTACATTTTAGGATATAGGAAAGCCTATTCCCTTTTTTGTTTTTGTACAGTGTATATATGGAGCTATTAAAAACAACCAGTGAGCTTTTGTACAAAGACTGGAAATCACGGCTAGACAGTTTTTAGGCCAGTCGCTGTCACTTCTAGCTGTCACAGTAGCACCAAGAAAGTTTCCCATTTCTCTAATTTCCTCTCCTCGACTCCATCCTCATGTCTTGGTGCCGCCCACAGGAGATGCGAGCAGAGGAGTCGAGGAGGGGAACCGAGGAGAGAGGAGGGGAAGCAGCAGGCGGTTAGAGAAATGAGAACTCCTCTCCTCTGAGCGGTCATTTTAAGAGAGACGTCCATTCATGATGACAGTCGGCACAGCAGCACTCTGTCTGATGGACAGATGTGTTCATGACGACTTATATATTTACTTTGATTCATTCACAGTGCGGTATAATGAGACAATAACAGGCTACAGATGAGGACATATACACACATATATTTATATAAATATATAGGCTGCAATTTCAGAATCAAGCAAGTATGAGAGCACTCTCGAAATAACGTAACACAATCAGAGACTGGATATATCTGCCCCCCCTCTCTCTGGTCGCTGAAATGGGGAATTGAAATTACGGGCCAAAAGTTGTATTTACAAGTATTCAAAGTAAAGAAAAAACCAAACCAACTGAGACCTGTCTGTCCGCCGCATCTACGCACAACACGCATCTACGCACTGTACAACACACACCTACACACTGTAAAACACACACACCTACACACTTTAACACACACACCTACACACTGTACCACACACACCTACAGCTCCTAAAGCATAATCAGGCTACAGCCGTTGTGGATTTCATTATTTGAAGCACTAAATGGTCTCTTTATTTGTAGATATCTACTGAACTACAGCAAATACAGAGAGTAATGTAGGCCTGTTATACTGAGTGATATATATTATACACACTGCTCTGCTTTCTGCACAGACCTCACAGCTGTTCTCACTGTAAACATCGCGTCGCGATGAAAGCAATTACTAAAATAATATCGAGGGGATGCATGCAGAGCTTTGATTGGCTGCGATAAGTCAGGCCGGGCGTAAGCTCCTCCCCCGGAAATGCATCCGCGGAGGAGCCGTGGAGGACCCATCAGTGTCTCCTCGGTTAGAGCTCCTCCAGAGAGCCTCCTCGATGCTCGATGTTCGGTCCTCGATGTGCATTTAGAGAAATTAGATGTCTTTCAACATGGCGCGCTGAAATCCATTTCTGGGTCACTACCGGAGGAGTCGAGGAGTCGAGGAGGGGAAATTTGAGTATTGAGAAACCTCTAGTGTTTCCTGGAACACACAATAAAAGTTTCTTAGTTTGCCTGCAAGGATGCAAGTAAGAGGAGGAGTTGATAACAACTAAATAAGAGCTAAAAGGCCTGTAAACATTGGTTTGAATCTTTCAGGTGGCTGCAGAAACAGGTTACACAAATCCAGTTCAATTTGAATGAACAAGTCATCAATACGTGACACATTCCTAAAAGCAAACAACAACAACAACATTGTAAAACAAGCTATTAGCATTGATTAAACATCATGTATTTTCCTAATAATAATTAATTCAGGTTTGAAGTCCAACATTTGTGTATGCAAAACTGCTCACCCTGGGGCAGTGCTGCCACGGTTAAATGTAACGGTAGCATACTCCACACTGTTTTCCTCTCTCCTCTTCTGTGTTTCAGCCAGAGCTGTAGTGGTATTGCAGTAAAGAGGATTTTCTTGTTTCTTAGAAAAGTGGACGGTGGCATAGTGAATGCTGTCCTTCTGCTCGGCAGGTGGTTTCTATAGAAATTAGACTGTTAAATGTGTGTAGCAGGAACTAAAAAAAAAAGTCACAGCAACGGAAACTTGCCAACAGGAAGGATTTTTAAAGAATAAGAAAGTGGAATTTTGTTAGAACATTTGTTTCATATATCAGCTTTCTTAGTAGCTGTGTTAATTGTTGCAAAAGGGTGATATTAGTCTACAAATCTAACTGTTAGCTTTCACAACAAGAGGAATGATTGAGATTCGGATAACCTATAGAAGCAATTCCTAAAACTTGTAATAGTACACCTGTCCTACTATTACAGGTTCTTTTTTCCAGTGCTGTGTGAATGTGGAACTCTATGTTGTGCTTAAACTGATTATTCTTACCTGCGCATATATTTCCTGTGTATTTATAGTCTCAGATGATGGTTTAGGGGCCGTCATTCTTTTAACAAGTGTGAATAAGTAAAAAAAAAAATGGATAAATTAATAATTTGATTTGAGTGCTTGGAATGAATGATGAATTGGCAATGTTTGAATGAACAATGATGTACTGCTTACCTAATCAAGACAATAACGAGTATGACAATAATTAGGATGGCAGTGACGGACACTAGAGCTGTTGCTTTCCATTCTCCTGGACAGTCTGAATTAAATGAAAACACTGATTGTGAGGAACACTTCTGTATAATTTGGGAACAAATATTACATTTTTTTTTTTAAATAACACTGTGTATGCTCTGAACGATTCCACAACTTGAGCATGAGATTCAATGGAGAAACTGACCTGACGCAACAATCAGATGAAAGGTGGAGTTACTACGTCCTAACTTGTTCTGGGCTCCACAGGAATAACTCCCACTGTGTTCAGCTCTAAAGTCAGTGATGGTGAAGATCTGTCCTGAAGCTTTTGGAGAGTCTTCATCCTCCTTGTACCAGGTGTAGTTAGCTGCTGGGTTAGCATCACTGCTACAGGTCAGAGTCACTGAGCTGCCCTTCACCATCTCAACTGAAACAGAAGGAAGCTCTGGGGCATCTGGGAGACAATATTAAGAAAGGTATCACATGTTTACTACCATGCATGTTTTCTTAATTCTCTGTCAAAGCGTCTTTGAGTTTCATGAAAAGCGCTATAAAAGTCCCATGTATTATTATTATTATTATTATGCGTTGTATAGATTCATTTTTGTATCACAAGGAATCACTAGACTTACACTGGACATCCATAAATGTAGGTCTCGACCTGATCCCTCCATATTGATTCTCAGACTTGCAGTAGTAGATTCCTCTGTCCTTAAGAGTGATGGAGGTGAAATTATAACTTCCTTCTGTACCCTTAGAAAGTGTTTGGTTCTCCTTGTACCAGGTGTAGTTAGCTGCTGGGTTAGCATCACTGCTACAGGTCAGAGTCACTGAACTGCCCTCCTCTATCTCAGAGGGACTCACTGACACAGAGGGGAGCTTTGGACCATCTGGAGGAGAATGTGTAAAAAAGAAATGTAATGCATATCTTCAAACATATGGAGAACTTCCATATTATGGCAATAACAATTTATCGGTTTTAACATAAGCCTTAATATTGACTTGAGTTCAGAGAAAACTATTGTGGCTGTATCTTTCAGTGATATATTTTTCATACTATTTTCTTTTCCTTTTTTCATTGGTTAAAACGAGTTTACTTAGCATACAATGTTTAACAAAATAGGTGTTTTAATATTAAATGTTATTCTTATTGGTTAAGTTCCAATGTTATTTATTCNTCCACTTCCATGTATGATCAAAGTGACAAGGCAGTTCCTTGAACTTGGCATTTTAAATAAATTGCCATTTACGTATAAAACCATTTTTTATTTATTTTTTATTTAGTACCATTGCAAAGACAATCTCTATTTATTCAACATATATAATTAATGTGAGTATTAGGTCAACGTCATGTATTTTGGTGTCTGTAAAAGTAAGTGACAGTACTTCCACCTTTTCTGTAGAATGACCCAGGGATTACCCACAAAATCTGACTACCTGCACCTCTAAAGAGGACTCTCCATCTCAATCAATTTAAGTCTTGACAAGAAAGCAAATAACTGCATTTCCAGAGATGTCAAACAATTTTTCCAATAGGACAACTTGGGGAAAGCAGCTTTTCTGAACCCAACATATAAGGCTACAATGCTATCATTCATAACAAATCTTTCTATGGCAGACACCATGAATTTTATAATTGCCGATACAAAAAGTCACAGAGGTGCAGTGGCCACTTCGTATAAACCCTGACGAGTAAGCATCTTACTCTTTGGTTCATTGTAATCCCATCAGCATGTATTGCTTGCCTTAATTCAGTTGGATTACTTATGTGAAATGTTTTTAAATGGGTTTTAACCCTAACTATATGCTTTAAGCTAATAATGTGCAAATGACACAACTGATTTTGCACCATTTATGCATTGCTCAATGTACAGTTAGTTAGTTTGCTTTTCTTTATTGATTTGTTCTTCACAAGACAATCTTAACTGGCCAGCAGTGACGATACAGACTCCGAAAACGTATCACTTTTAGTGAATGCTTTACCACTAAACTGATTGTGGGATTTTGATCTAAAACGTTTATTGTATCAACTCAAACACTCAGGTCAATTGAAGCTTATCAAATCACCAAATGTCTTAGTGCAACGCAGTATATTGTGAACACATCGACGTCTTAATCTCTCCTAGAGCTGAATGTACAATGGACAAACTGTGATTTCCCCAACCAAGCTCTTTGTTCGAGGAGCTTTGTCTAGTTCCCGTTCTAATGCTTTTATGGAATGCCGTGGTATGTTCATGTATAAATTGCAGGAAAAAGCTTTGATGTGTTTATTCCTTCTCTCTACAGACTGTGTGTATTGGGCCTTAATATGCCACTCTTAAATCTGGATGACACCAGTGTCTGGATTATTGCAGTATCAGCAATGTACATATTACGATGACTGTGCCATTACAAGTGTTTTTTCTCTTCTGTAAATCAGAGAACTTAGAATGACAAAGTTGCAATAAAGTTTACATTTTCTTACTTCACTTTGATTAATTTAGCCAATAATTATTTCAAGACATCTTCATGTGTTAGCAGTGCACACAGTGGGAAAAGACAAGGTTCTTTATATCTGATAACATCTGGCCTGAGGTCTGAACATGTGCCTCTGTGTGTTTTACTGTCTGGCAACTGGTCTACCTGCCACCAAAGGATTGTGGGATATGCTTCAACAACCAGTATGACCCTTATGAGATACATGCAAGTATGGGAAATGAATAAATGATGATCTTGGAAATAATTGCTTTACTTGTGATATTTGTTGCATCTATATCCATGTCAGCTGGCTCCTGTGTGAGTTTAGGCCTACATGTGTCAGTGTGCAAGGCTCTCATAATTAACGCCTCTTGCTCTTCCGTCTGCTCATGTCAGAAAATCTCTCATGTCAGAATGTGTATATATCTGTGAACATGCTGACGACTAATATTTCCACTAATTCCACTTTAACCCAATAAAAGTTATTTATAGATTTGGTGAGCACGCAGTGAGAGAGATTCTCAGAGGAATCACATTCAGCTCAACCTCCCGCTAAGCTTCTCCTCCTTACCTTCCTCTCCTGCTGCCCCTTTGGCTGGGCTCCACCTCGGGGCCCCAGGCTCTGCTCCTTTAGGGCAGTCAGACAGGTGCAGCAGGCCGCAGACATGCCGGCCCCTCCACGCCAGCCACCAAGCTCTCCCTCTCCGTTTACACCCTCTTCTTAATCACTTAGATTCATATGGCGCTTTTTTGAAAAACTGG